CTCCCATCCTGACCCCCTCCTCCCCATTTTCTCCCCTGCCCAGGCCGTGCCCATCGCGTCGCTGCCGCTGCAGCACGACGCGGAGAAGCTGCACCTCGCCTTTGCCCTCTGGGCAGAAGGCTTCGCGGCCACAGTGCGCGGCGGCAGCGCCAGCGGGCAAGAAGGCAAGGGCAAGCAGAAAAGCGAGGGCGGGGGCGCGCCGGCTGCCAAGAAAGCCAAGAAGTAGCTGGCAGCGTTCAGGAGGGCCTGGATTGGCGACGGCAGCGGCGGCGGGCTCCCCTCTGAGTGGCGGTTGTCAATTTGTCGCAGCTTTCTGCGTGGTTTATGTGTAGAGGATGACTTAATGTGCAGAGTTTGAATGGCAGAGTAAAAATGCTGACAGTCACACAACTGCAGCGAGTCTTTACACAAGGATTGACAAAACGCACATCAGCGTTAAGAATAGTAGGCTCCAACCTGTTCAATGATCGAAATTCGCTCGAGCTTTATCCCTGTGCATCTCACACCAACCGGGCCACTGCCTCGCAGCTGCCAGCCCCTCAACCACGAGCCGCACAGCCGCCTCCGCGGTCGCCGCCCCCAGCACTGGCGGCCGCCGCGCCCCAGCCGCGAGCCCCCCGTCCCCCCCTCCTCGCCACATCGGACTTCCTCCCGCGCCCCCACCGCCGCCCCATCCAGCCTCTGGCCTGCCAGGCTGGCGGTCACGCCGGGCAGCCCAGTGACCACCACGATCGGCGCGCGCCCCCACACCCACGCGAAAGCCACCTCGCTGAGCGTCCCGGCGCCGCCGCCGACCGCGACCACGGCGTCGGCCGCCGCCACCACGCCGTTGCGGTGGTGGCCGAGCCCCGTGGGGATCACGATGGAGGCCCAGCGGTTGGCGGCCGCGGGGTCGGCGCCGGGCAGCAGCGCGAGGGTGTCGCCGTCCCGGAAGGCGCGCGAAGCCGCGGCGCCGCGCAGGGCGGCCTCCATGACGCCGCCCAGGCCGCCGGTCACGACGCGGCAGCCCGCGTCGACGAGGCCGCGGCCGATCTGTAGGGATGAGCGGTCGCACGCTTCAAGGAACAGTGTGCGAATGGGGGCGATGCTTTTGCTGTTGCTCCCCCCCCCCTTCCGGTCCCGTGGGTGGTGGGCCCCAGAGTGGGAATGCGGCGCCGCCAGTTGCGAGCGTGCGCAAAGCGCCCGCATCCAGACTGGCGCCCGCAGAATTCCCAAGTCGCTCATAAGCCTGGGCCACATGGGCCCAGTCTTTCTTGCTGCGCGGCGCACAGCGCCCCGGGGCGTGCCCTGACCTGCTCCGCCACCTCAGCCTTGCGAACGTGGTCCAGGTCACCATCGCCGATCACGGCAACAAGCGGCCGCTTGCAGAGGCTAGAAACGACGCTGCTGGGCGCTTGCGCCATGCTGTCAGCTCTGCCGGCTCCGCCGTGCGCTGTGGGGCTGTGATGAGCTCGGCTGCACTGCTGGCACTGTGCACTGCAGTTGCGGGCAGGGTGCGGGTGTGTGTCAATGCGGTCAAGGGTGGGGGGCCATGTACTACCTCATCAGATAGCGTGCTGTAGCACTAATACGGGTATGCTAGATGTGACAGCGCTGAATACTCTAAGAGGATTTTGACGCGACGTTGCGGGTGAAGATCAGCCAGCTGCGATCTGAAGTTGACAGCGATAATGCAAACGCGCACCGTGGAGGCATTCAGCAAGGGCTGGCGCGGTAGCAACGCCAGCAGGCCCCCTGCTCGGGCAGCCGTCGCGCGCGTCCGCGTACCCCGACGCGCCGCGCTGGCATCGCCGCAGCAGCAGCCCGGCATGGCGCCGGTCGTGGACCCCGCAGCCATTGATCTAGCGCACAAGCTGGCCGATGCGGCGGCACGCGTGACTTCGCGATACTTTCGGTACGGTGCTTCAGGGCGCTCTGTGTGGGGGGGCCTGCGAGCTACGCGTGCACGTGTGTGCGCGTGCGTGGTGGTGCAGGTGTCGCAGCTCCATGAAACAGCGCTTGCCTAGATGCTGCCCGTGGGACGCAGGGGACAAGCCAGCGCCACAAACAGCTTAAGGCCAGCGGCTGCGCGCCCTGCCCCCTCCACGGCCCCCCAGCCCCTGTGCCCTCCTGAGCAGCACCCGACCCCTGCATCAGCCACTTCAGCTCCTCCCTCACCCCACCTCACCCCCTCCCCCCCGTAACACCACACCCCAGGGCCACCTTTGACATCGACATCAAGACCGACGCCAGCCCCGTCACCATCGCCGACCGCGAGGCAGAGGCCGCCATGCGCGCCCTCATCCGCGCGGCGTTCCCTGAGCACGGCGTGTTTGGGGAGGAGCACGGGCTGGAGCTGGGCAGCGGCGCCGGCGCCGACTGGCTGTGGGTGCTGGACCCCATTGACGGCACGAAGAGCTTCATCACGGGTGCGGGAGGCGGGGACGGACTTGGGGAAGCGGGCTGTGACGGGCTGGGCCATGCGGTCGAGCGCGACTGGTTTGGCCGTAGCGGCAGCCAGGGGGCCCTTTCATGCTAGGGGCCTGAGCCTTGGCGTGTTGGCCGCGCAGGCGCCGGCGGACTCGTCGTTGGCACCAGGGAGCGGGCCCTTGCTGACTGACCCCGTGATTTGTCGCAAAAACGCATCCGCCGCAGGCAAGCCGCTGTTCGGCACGCTGATTGCGCTGCTACATCGCGGCACCCCCCTGCTGGGCGTCATAGACCAGCCGGTGCTGCGCGAGAGGTGGCTGGGGGTCGCAGGGGAGCCGTCGACGCTCAACGGCGCCCCCATCCGCAGCCGGGCGTGTGCGGAGGTGGGGGCGGCTTACATGTACTCCACGACCCCCCACATGTTCAGCGGCGACAACGAGGTGGGGGGTGTGGGGCGCGATGGGTGGGCTGCGGCCTGCTGCGGGGTGGCGGGCACGTCGTGGTGGAGTGTCTGGGGCCGCGGGGTCGAGCGTTGCTGGAGCAGGGGAGGGGCAGAACATTTTGTGGCACATCTCCCTGGAGTAGACAACCAGCGGCCGGCTGCAGGCGCGCGCCAAGCTGGGGGGCCCCGGTGACGGCGTGAGCCCGCCTCTGGCTTGCAGCCGCCCCTCTCGCGCCGGCGCGCTGGCCGCCCTCTGCTCACCACCCCTCCCA